ACTTCAAGTGCCGCATGCTCAAGTCCTGTCCAACGCAGCAGGCTTCCGAGCTGTAATGAAAAAGGAAGATCAAAGTATGTGTGTGTGTCATATCTCCATCGCATTTCCCCTGAAATCCCTTGATGTGCAGAACACGATATGAGCGGTAGCCAGCATCGATAGGTACCTCAAATTACTAGTTCAGAAGCAGCTCGTGAAAGCCGTGAAAACCGTCAGGGTGCGTTCTACCATTCAAAGTTCTTAGCGCATTTCCTCATATGCTTGCACTATGCTACACTAGCACTAAAGCCGCAAGATCTACAAGCTCGCGCACCTATAACCTTCAGTCGAGCTTACAGATGGACCATGGTACACTGACAACGAACACGACACGGAATATCAAGCTCTTAACTGCATGTATGCATTACATCCGTGACCGTGTAATTCCCTTTCCTTCTCCTACAATTCAAACTCACAGTATTTTTTTCCGGCAGTCCTTCCCAAAACAAAGTTCCAAAGCTTCCTCCCAAAACGAATGCAAACTCTACTTTTATTAGCGATGCGCCCTCCTATCCATCTGCACAGCACATACAGTTGACTCTGACAATTCAGCCTCCGACCCAGCCACTCGCAAAAAGGGTAAGCTCGGCTTGTTCAAAAAGCAAAAGTAAAGTCAAACTAGGCCCAAAACACAAAAACGGCGGCGTACGGAGGCAAACAGTCCCAGCGACACTGACGAGTCTGAGGAAGAGAAAACAAGGGAAGAAGGAGGAGCGCAAAGTAAAGATAAAATAAAAAGAAATGGAAGAGCCAGGGACAAGAGAACGAGAGCGGGAGCGAGGGTCGTCATTCAAAATCGGAATTGAGATCGAAGTCGAAGAAGATGAAAACGAAGACAAAGAAGAAGCCATGCTCAAGTTCAAAACGCATCAAATTCGAGTCTCCGGAGGCAGATGTCAATGTCAACGTTGAAGGAGCCTCTGTCTACCGAGCTGTTCGCCAACAACGAGTAGCGCCAGGATGGTCCAAAGCTCCATGCGGTAGATGTCCAGTATTCAACTTCTGTCGCGACAAGGGGCCTACGAACCCGCAAGAGTGCGTGTATTACGAGGAGTGGTTGAATTTCAAGAGGCGCCAGGGGTTTTGAAAGCAGAGGTGTGACAGTTTTCATTCTTTGCTACGATGACAATCAGGTATACTGGTATCAAATTTTCCATTCGGAGGATCGTACAGAATTTCATATCCTTCCTTGCTGTGTTCTGCTATGGCTTGACCTGCATGGCGTAATCGGCAATACTACTGTAACTGATGGGCAGCATGGACTGGCACAAGCCGTACGGGTATTGATACAGCTCTGGTTCCCCTCGCAGACGGCGACCTCACCCATTTTGAGCTAGGAGGTAGGCCATGAAGCAGCGTCCCGTCGACATTCACCTTCGTCTTGTCAGATCCAGGCTCATAGCTGACGATCCCACAGATATCCTCAAAGCGATGTCAAAACCTCATCTTCCGCAGAGAACCTGTTACTGACTATAGCATGTCAGTCATGACTAGGCGGCCCTACCGATGATTTCTACCGTTTTCTATGGATACTTTCGACAAAATAAATATAACCACGACTTATATGCTGAAGCGGTCAGAGTATGCTTACTAATCGTTGATAAGCCACTTTAGCAATTTTAGAATTAAACAACCGAATTCGACAAGCCGTCGTAGCACAATGGTAGTGCGTTGCCTTCCTAAGGCAAAGGTTGCGGGTTCGATCCCCGTCGTCGGTAGTCGGTGCACTACGAGCGGTTAATTTTTGTTGGTTAGGACTAGACAACGGTTCTTTTTAAACCTCGTTCTCAATTTCTCATCATATCGGTTTATGAACTTGGAGGACACTGCCCTTGCCGCAGACCTGATAATTTTGAACATTCTGGCACTTTTACTTACACAAATACCTTAGGAGTCCATCTCCAAAGATACTCTCATTCCCCATTCACGTCCTACTAAGTCCTTCACAGCGCAGAACTTCTCCTGGAGAAGGGATACAAAGTCCATGGTATAATCCGTTGTTCAACACAGGTTGTTGTCTAGAGTCTTTGTACGCGGACTATGGCAACGTGAACGTATGTACCCCCACCATCGTCTAACCCACCATGACACTCTCCAGGCCCCAACTAATTCAAGTTCCACTACGATGATCTCCCCGAAAGCACCAACCTCGTCTACATTCTCGCTCAAGTCCTCCCTTTCGAGATCTACAACCTAGTAGGCGCACGATCCCACGTCAAAGTCTCTTTTGACATGTCAGAATACACAACCGACATCAATGGGCTCGGTACCCTCCACCTCTTCGACGCAATTTGTACGGCCGGGCTCGAGAAACACGCCAGGTTCTACCAAGCATCCAGTTCAAAGCTCTATAGAGAGGTAGTCGAGACGCCCCAGGGCGAGACCACCCCGTTCTATTCTCGCAGCTTGCACGGCGTCGCCAAGCTTTATGCATATTGGATCATGGCAAACTACCGTGACTCGTGAGGCATACGGCATGTATGAGTGTACCGGAATCTTGTTCGACCATGAGAGTCCAAGGCGAGGGAGGAATTGTTACTAGGAAGATCTCCAGGGCTGTTCAAGTTGAGTGCTGATATCAGCGCCGGCAAACAGCGCTGTTTGTACCTCAGTAACATCGGTGCGCAGCGAGATTGGGAACGTGGTACAAGCGTGTCTTTCATTCTCTTCAGCTAAACAAAGATGTGGACTACGTCAAGGGCATGTGGCGCATGTTCCAACAACCCACCCCTGTCCTCGTGACGGGAGAGGCTTACCCTGTGAGAGAATTTGTGGAAAAGGCCTTTGCAATGACGATAAGGTACCCGTCTCCTTAAGCTTCCTCAGGTACCCAGATCATTTTCTGATGTCTGACACAATCACACTATCACCCGATGCATAGTATCGCCGTTTTTGAATTTGAGTGCTCGGAAGGAACCGGCACCACACGTCCAGTTTATGGTTGCTTTCCCGCCCGGACCGTTGGATTGGCGCGGCTGGCAATGCTAGCTATGGCCGCACCCTCATAGAGGGAAGCTGCTGTAGCCACAACCTAATGGTCTATGCTACCTACGACGATTGATATCGAGGCCTCAGTGTTATCCTCTGAATTTTACACACAATTGTTAGCCCTTTTTAGATTCCTGTGTCGAATGGGCATTGCTATGTATCCCAGATGATATCTGGCAGACAATCAATTCATCTAATTCCTCGCAGGAAAACCTTCTTGTCTCATAGTCTCGTACCCTCGCTCATATACTCCTCAGTCGATCCTGCAGCCTTGAAGAGCGATTCATCAGGTGCTTCTGCGCCTTTCAGTTCTGTACACTTGAAGTAGCTCTTGGTCCCTGTGCCATAGATGCGCAAATGCGCGCCGAGTCTTCACTGCATGATCGCATATGTGTTCCTCCTTGACGCAGCTAGTAAGCTAGGAATCAATTCAACTACTTTTGTTCATTATAATATCCCTTCTAGGCCTATGCCTCGCAAGAAGCGCCCTGTATGCATCGCACTCCATCATTGCAACTCAAAGCTGGGATTTCACTTCACTGTCCCAACAAGAAACTTGTAATATGTCCATCCACGACTGCTACATCTACCACACCGGCAGAATGATCTTCGAGAAAGTATGGTCATGGGAGTGAACATTTGAACGGTCGACCGCTTGTATTGTGAATCTACAACTGAGAATTACAAGCAGAAAACCGTGTATAGGGTAAGAAGTAAAGAAAATTACTCGGGTTTGCTGAGCTTAGCCCAACCCTCTAAACTTGTAAATTTAGATAGAAAAGCATCGAGATCCGAGTCGGCGTTGGGCTGCTGGTATTCAACTGACCATGGCCGTTTAAGGCGATGATAGTATCGGTTGTCGGCATCCATTTTAAGCACCACAAAACAGTTCACAAGGACCTCCCATATAACTTGGTCTATGTCCGAGGGTGCGAAAGCTGTCATGTTGTTGAGAAGAACTAACTTCTTTTCGCCACATGCAACGGCACCTAATGTCGCCCACTCGTCGAAAGAGCGTAATCTTCGTGGTAGAAAGACTCCCTCCCTGTAACGCAAGCAAATCCAAGCAAAAACCCACATGAATGACTCCAGATCATGGTGATATAAGTGTTTCACTTTGCCTTGTTGATCATCTTCGGTAAGAAGCTCGCGCGCCATGAACGGCACCGTGCCCGTGCGCTCGTTACCCTGAGGACCTTGGCCATTGGCCAACGAGGATAGATCATAGTCGTTTAAGACACCAATCCGCTTCCCGTCTTTCCAGTACCACATTAGGTTGCCAGGGCTGACATCTCGATGATAGATCCCTTTCTTCCACAGAGTAAGGTGGCCTGCAGGCTGTGTTAACAAAGAGCCATGTAAACTCAATGAAAGATGTACATGAGATACACTGACGCCAGACGTCGAAAAGCTCTTTTCCCTGAAGCTTCGTGATGGGGAGAAGCTTGCGGAATACAAGAATGTAGAGCACGCGACTTCCCGTAGTGGGTTCAGGAACACCGAGCGCTTCTCGGATGGCGGACGTGGGATTCATGAACCTGTGGTGCCAGAGTAGTTCGGGGATATGGTCTTTTACAGTATCGTGCACCTCAGCAATCTCCCTGACCTTGTTCAAGATGTCCGGCTCACTAGTGCGACTTGCCTCTCCCCAGAAGATCTTGGCCACCATCCCATCCTGGAAGTCGCGGTATTTCTTCGTGAGCGTTCTGCTGGTGACAGCAACCACATTAATGGCCCGTCCTTGCAGTCCGTAGTGAGTCACTCTTTCGTCGTCACCGGTGTGAAGCAGCAGATCCACCATTCCAAGATCTTCATCTCTGATGTTGAATTCATGGCATAGTTTCCCCTCAACTTGAACTGGGAGGAAGTCTTTGTTTCGCCCCTAATCGTGAAGGTCGAATCGTTGTAGCATACAATAACACCATGAATCGCGGGAGATCTTGGATGAAGTTTATGCCTGAGCATTGAATGATGCCGGCCGCAAACATTTCTGTGGCGTACAGACCCGTCTGGACGGTCACATCTAGATCCGCCTCCGCGTCAGCGTCTGCATCGCTGGGGTTCATCTTGGATTTTTTCGCGGCGGGTTCCAAAGTGTCCGCGGCCTTGCCCTTGGAACTGGACCTGCCCTTGGAAGGCTGCGCAGCAGTGAGGCCAGAAGATGGCACTACAGCTTAGCCGATTTAATTTGATCGCAGAATCTTAAATAACGTGCAGTGTCGGATGCAGGTTCTGTTGCTGGGATCTGCAAAGGGCCTCGTACCGGGACTTCAGCCTGAAGATGATCCACCGGCAGATATTCCGGCTTGATAGGGACATAGTCTGTCACTGTATACGAAGAGGGCGGTGGTTCATCCTCCCTGGCGTCTTTCTCTTGAACTCGGTGCAAGCTAGAACATTTTTAATTTTTGGTTTTGTCGTTGCATTCGTGTCCATGAGCCTTGAGTTTCTTCTTGCGCTTTTCGTCATTCTTTTCATCGTTCTTCCCGTCGTCCTTCTCTACCGACTCTTTGTTCTTCTGTTTTCCCTTCTTGCCGCCCATCTCATCCTGGAAGGGAGCGCATGCGCTGTCCAAATGAAGAATCACGAGGTCAGGCTTCCGAGTTGATTTCTTGGTCTGATGAGTTTGGTGCATGGGCATATCGTTCTGCTGGCAGATCATGTCCACGGCGGGGACAGGAGCACCCATCCCGTCAACCTTGATCTCTTCAAGACACGCGAGAGCGATGTTAGTGGTTCTTATGAAAGGGCCGTAGAAGCTGTTTTCTACTCCAGGACCCATGCTTGCAGTCGTTGTGAGCACGAAAATGTCCGATCGTCGAGCTCAAAACAAGCACTCACTATTCGTTGAGGGCTATCTCGACGTCAAAAGGAAGGCCTGCCCATTACAAACAGGTAGGACCGCCTTGAGGCACTTTTGCAGAAACTCGGGCTGAGCAGTCTCGGGAGCGGAAGAAGCGCGCTGCAGGAGGGCTTGCAGCATGGCATCTGCCTTGCACTCCTTAACCTGCTCAATATCGCGTTGAATCCATGGGCGGAGTTTCTTAACCCTTGATGGAATGTCAGGTGTTACTCGATAAAAACAGAAAAGGTGCGCACTGGACACCGACCAGGCCGATGTTCTCACTGATGACGGAAGCCCCATGGCTCTGATGCATTGGCGCGTGGAGGAGTAGACGATGTACCAGTCTCGCCTGCAGGGGACATGGCGCTAGGTGCTCAATGATTGCGTTGATTGAGTGTTGCTAGCAGAATTGGCGAGGAGGAAAAACTAAGAACACAACAGAAACGACTGCCTGTCTTACATCCGGTCGACCAGTGTGGTGTAAATATGGTGGACCTTCGATAAATCTGATGTGTCAGATGTGGCCTACAGTTCGACTCCGACAACGCGTTCCCATCAATACGCGCACGTGACTCTGACTTATTGAGTGAAGTCAGTGAATATTCCTGAAACTTAAGTATCATATGATATAGTAGCACTAAGATTCATCTATACTCTAGTACTCTGAATAAGATCGATAGCAGTGCGCCAGCTAGTTCAAGGGACTCCGCATCATTCTAACTTCAATCATGATACTCGCTCCGCCGAGTCCCTAAGAACGTCTTCTAAGAATCGATTCATATTCTCAGAGTAGAACGGAGTCCGACGCTCGCGCCATGATGGTCCACAAAAGAAGACACGGCTCAGCCACCATTCTCGTGATCCGACACAATTGTCGTTCCCTTTTAGATCCCTGTGCTGCGGCGCCATGTTACTCTTAATGAACATTCCTGTGTATCCTAGGTGATATCGAACAATCAATACATCTGATCGATATCCCTTGTAGGAAAACCTTCTTGTCTCAGCATCTCGTACCCTCGCTATACTCAGGACCCTGAGGAAGAGCAATCCATCAGATGCTTCTGCGCCCTCGAGTTCTGTACCCTCGAAGTAGTCCTTGGTCCACCCAAGAGTCGGCGCAAAGTCCAAGTCTGTTTAACTGGGTCCGACTCAGGAAAACGTCAGCTTACTTATTTTGCATCTGGGCCACCATACAAGCTTGGGCCTGCGAAAAGCCTGGAGGTCAGGCAAAAGGGACATGGCTGTTTCCCGGATGAAAGCGTTACTAGGATAAAAAATGGGTATTATATTCGGAACACATAAAGTAGGGGTATATATTCCAGTCCATAAATTAAAAGAAACACAAAAAAGTCCATTGTCGAACACACGACGCGCGAGAAACAGCAAAACGACAAAGCTTGAAACAACAGGAGAAACAGTCTTCCACGACTGAACACAAGAAGTGAAATCAAGAAGGGAAGCGGAAGGATAGATGTGCGAAGCCATGCACTAGTTTTTCATCCTGCGGCGCGTTAACGCAGCACAGGGATTTTCGAATTTTCTTGGGCAAGGGTCGAAAGGGCGAGTAGGGAGGGAAATAGGGACCCATGCCAAAGGATGCCGAGGTCGAAGAAGGTAGAGATGTAAAACGAACGACCTGGCGAGAAAAAACACAGCAACCACTCTACAGAAAAGTCACAACTCAACACCTAAACAGGCAGCGTACGGGGACAAGAAAATTGGATGATGAAGAATGCCCCGGGCCAAATGTGGAAGACAGTATTCGCTGAAGTGGTGTCGCGCTTGATGAACCAGCAGCACTCGGCGCTAAGGACGAATTAGGATGTACGAGAAAGAGAATATTGAGATGCTGTGCAGACAAGAGAACAGGGAAGAAAGCAGGTGAAAGATATAAAGCAGGGGTATAGGAAGCAGAACAGGCACCGGTTGCAGATCCGAGAGCTTCAAGGGGAATAGGGCCTAACCAGGGCAGGAGAAGGGTTCAGGACAACAACCAGCAGCAAAAGAGGGAAGGGCCTCGAGGGTACGGCGACAGCACCTAGGCAGTGAGGTCAAGGGTCTTACGTTCATCTCCGACCATCACATGAGCACTAGGAATAGGATGCCAGAGGCGACTGATCCATCGCTTGAAGCCCGAGCTTCGAGATGGGGAGCCAATTCCTTTCGGTGATAGATGCGTGGGAGATGCAACAAGGGTCGCGTTAGGCGATGGAGTAGCGGGAGAAGGCGACAGGGTGACGTGTAAACTCTTTCGCCCCGGACAAGGCCTCTCTCTTCGGTCGACGCGGCGGATGAAAGACTCAAGGCTTCGCACAGGAACTGGACCAGAATAATTGTCGCATGGCTGAGGTTGTGGAACACCTTCGCCCAGAGGTGTATTACGACGCACGAAATGCCGAAACGACCAGTTCGATGAAGCACGCGAGATCTCAGCAGCCCCAGAAGCCCAATTAGCACGTATTTCGTCGCCGTCCACCAACGTAGTCCCAGTCGTTGCACAGGCAGGACCAGTGGTTTGCTGTTCCTTCTTTTCCGGTGCCGGTGGGCGGGATCGGAAGAGCTTGGCAGCGATTTTCTGAAGAACTTGAATGCCATTCTTACCCTTGATTCTCCACAAGGCTTGAGCGCGGTGACGCTCGCGCTTCAAAACTGGGGAAATGAAATTGAAGTTGGGCAGCGGGTCGTTCGATGGTTCACATTGGCCAAGCGACATGGGAACTGTAGATGGCGTATCTTTCTCTTCAACCACGGGAATGCAAAGCAGAGGAAGGGTCCGTTTCTCGACTTTCTTCCAGTCACTAAAACCATCTGAGCACAGAAATCGAATGATCAGAGTGGACTCTTACATCGACGCAAAGAATGGGTGGTTAAGCATAGCCTCGTACAATGGCCTACTTTTGACATCCTTCTGAAGCATCTGTGCAAACGTCAATAACGCTGAATGGACAAACACAGTGAGACGTACGTTATGTAGGAGATCCTGAGCCTCATGATGGAAATCGTTAACAAAGAAAGGCTCAAACCCAACAATGCCATCGGCTATGTGAAGGCCGTCAACTGTGGCCCAGGGAGTCTAAACCAAAGTAAGCAATGATTCATCAGAAAATTCAAGACTTACCCTTCCAGTGAGCATCTCATACAACATGACACCCACCGCCCAGAAGTCGATTGCAAAACCATACTTGGTACCTAGGATAAGTTCAGGCGCCATGTACTCTGCGGTACCGCAGAGTGAACTCGCGAGGTAGGGTGCTTGCGATAGGCTAGTGAAAGTCCCCGTGGGATTGTAGGGAGAAAACGATTTCGGATCGTCGAGCGTGAAGACCTTGGCTAATCCTAGATCTGCGATTACGAGATGACCATGGGAGTCGATAAGGATATTTGAAGGTTTGATATCCCTGTGGATGACTCCTTGACAGTGGAGATGATAAACACCAACAAGCTATTTTGGTCAGAATGCAGATCACAACTATAGAAAGAACACTCACGAGTTCTGCTGTGTAGAACCTTGCTTGTTCGACTGGAAGAATCCGGCGCGGATAAGTGCGAATAACGTCATGGAGATCGCCTCCTGGATAGAATGCCTGTCATAGAGCGTAAGCCAATCCAACTACGCATGTGCGGTCACTCACAAGAGCTAGATAGAGGCACCGTGCGTCCTGAAAGCCTGCCTCGACTTGCATACAATGAGCATCACCTATGACCCGCTTCAGAGCATCCAGCTCAACTCGAAATTGCTGGAGATCGCATAAAGCCGCGCCCTGCCTCCTGATGACTTTCAACGCCATGGTCTTGTTCGTAATCTTGTCTTCGACACGGTAAAC